CGGTAAGTTTCATATACAGTTTAGGTGTAAAAATTCATTATTAAAACGTTTTCTTGATTTGGTTAATTTTCTCGAATAATACTTTATTATTTGTATGTATCATTGAATATTTTTCACTTATTTTGATATTTGATGTTTGCGCTGTTTGGCCATTCTTTAACGTTTTTGCAATTAATTCATACAATTCTGAATGTGATTTTAATTCGAGAAGACTGCATTAGATTGAATTACATTTGTCTTTTCACAGAAATGGATGATTTCGATTTGTTGTTAATTTCTCTGGTCAACATGGGAGCATTTTTGGTGCAACGTCGTAGAAACCGTGAACGTCATCGTCGCCGCCGCGCCGTCGGCGTGTCTGGGTACGACCAATTAACACAAGGAGAAGACAGCAAGGAGCGTTTTACAATCTTTTTCAGGAGATGAAAACAGATGAGCAAATGTTCCACAAGTATACACGTATGACACTGCCAACATTCCAACACTTGATGGACATTGTTAATCCAAGTTTAATGAAACGAAGTCCACGGGCACTTGAACCAGAGCAAAGAGTTGCTTTTACATTGCGGTATATGTTCGGATTATTCGTAGTCTAACAATACATATGTGTAAAAACAGTTTGGCAATTAATATTATAATATTGATAATGATGTTACAGATTTCTGATTGGAGGCAAAGTTCCAGCAGTTGCTTTTGCCTATCGTGTTGGTTTATCAACAGTACATAAAATAATTAAAGAGACGTGTGACGTATTTGAAAGACTTTCTTGGTCCTATCTATCAACGAACTCCTTCAAGAGAAGAATATTTACAAATTGCTGAGGGTTTTTGGACATTATGGAATTTTCCACATTGCTTGGGGGCAATTGATGGAAAACGTGTCAATGCTCAATGCCCCCCTAATTCTGGTACGCTGTACTTTAATTATCACATACGATACAGCATCGTACTTTTGGCTGTGTGTGATCACAATTATCAATTCACTTTGGTGGATATTGGGTCAATAGGGAAGAACAGTGATGCGGGAATTTATGGGAACAGCTACTTGAATGTGACAAATGAGATGCTGGATATTCCAGAAGGAACCAGTTGCTTAAGCGGAACCGATATACAAGTGCCTTATTTTTTTATTGGGGATGAAGCATTCCCCATTGGAAAGCATTTGATGCGGCCATATGCTGGACGGTATTTGGGGGAACGCAAAAACATATTTAATTATAGACTTTCGCGAGCCCGGCGTATAATAGAAAATACATTTGGGATTTTGGCAAAAAAGTGGGGTATATATAACAGACCGATCGCTGCGATTCCTGAAAATATCAATAAATATATTTTGGCAACTGTATGTTTGCACAATTTCTTAAGAAACAAAGAAGGTAATATTTTACAATTTGAAAACAATGATGAAATTATTGAAAATAACGAAAATGGTGCATTTGCGACGCACATTAAAGACTCTTTGCAATTATTTTATGACTCCAAATGGAATGGTCAATTAGCAGCATGATCATGTAACAAGAGGACAAAATCAAGACTTTATCTACACGTAAACGTTTGATCGATTGGTTACACACGTATCATATTGTGAAATGTAATGCTAATATGTATTTATTATGTAAATATAAAATAAATAGTACAAAATTTCTTTAATATTATTATTATTATATACCAGTACACATATATGTTATTACTAAAATTAATATCGCACAATCTTAAGACATGAGTATTATATGTATCTACCAATAAATACAAATTATTTATTTTATCACAAAAATCATCTCGCTCACAGGTTTTCCTTTCTCCACAAAATTTTCATGATTTCTTGTTTTTTGACTTGTTTTATATCATCATCCAATTGTTCTAATTCCGCCA